TCTTATACAAGTTCTACTCAAGAAATACTTAAAAAAAGAACAACTTGATGATTCTGCAATCAGACTCGACTCTGGACCTTGTTCACAACATGCACACTTGAGAACCGATGGTAAACTGAATTCCTTCAACTCAGAAACAACAACGAACTTGTCTTAAACTCAGTCTGAACAACTGTACAACTTGCGGCTATGGCCGCCGAACATTGTCTCTACCACCAGCCTCAGTCTCCCTCGCTCTCGCTTGCACGCACGTACGAGGATCACCCTGAATGTCCACACTGCACAGCCACTCACACTCTGTACACTCTGTACACTCTGTCTACACCAACAGCTGGGCTGCTATGGCCGCCGTCGTCTTCCTCCTCCGAGCTATGGCCGTCGGTGTCTCCCTCGCTGGCTCGCTATGGCCACTGTCTTCTTCACAGCCCACTTCTTCTCCGGGCACCTGCAGTCCTCCACACACAAGATACCAAGGCAGCTCTTCCGCATGGCACACAGGCGAATGAATGCATGGCTGGACGCTGCCTCTTTATTTGTACCTCTTTGGAGGTACCCGGGCCTGCCTCAAAATGTGTGGGCCTGGGCCAAAACGAGTGGCCCAAGGAAGCTTCCAGACGTTTGGCCTTCTGGGCCAAAACGTGTGGAACCCACCAATTAGTCCAGAACCTTCCCCACGTGCAGCCCCTACACTTGGTACTTGCTGGCTGGACTGTACTACGACCTTCTAGACTATACAGACCTACAGATAGATTCCAGTCCTCAACAGATTCGTAGAGACTTCTAGAACAGACTTCCTAAGCCTATCGGTAACAGACCTAGGCGCTAATCTACAGACGTAGGGATCAAGTCCTACTGCCCAAACTACAGACTAATCTGGGATGTGGAACAGGTCTAGGGATCGAATCCTACTCAGCACACAGGGTTTATGTACAGGTATAGGGTAGGTCTAGGGATCGAATCTCAGTCAGCACATGGGATCAATGTACAGGGTTGTGGCACAGGTCTAGGGATCGAATCTATGTGACTGCAATGTCAGGTCAACTAGGTGAAACCGTTTCACTCCCGCCGTCCTAAATTCGAGGTCCTCCGAGAACACCCTAACTCAAGGCAGGACCTTTGCCCTTTCTTTCCCTCTCATAGGCGTGTACTATGTCGGGAGATCTATATCATATGCACCATCCATGTCTGGCGGAATCATCGATCTCCTAGAAGGGAATCTGTCAGATGTGGTGCAGGGTAACAACTTTGATGCATGGAAGACTGGGTACGTGTGGAGGTGTGCTGGAATCTCTATAGTATACGACGGGCCGTCCTCTCCTCCTTTGACTTCTAGGACAGGCCACGGTCCTCTATACATAGGTAAGAGCTTCTGCAAGATGTTTTCCTCAGGTGCGAAGTCCTTCGACTTGACCCAAACTAGATCGCCTACCTGAAACTGTGAAGGTCGGTGGTGCTTGTTAGCTTGCTCTATCATCCGATGCTGGGCCTTTCTCAGATTGTTTATGAACTTAGCGACTTCTTGCTCATACTGTAATGCAAACTCTCGTGTGTCGGGTGGTAGTATGTGTATCTGGTCCCGGTTTAGTCCCTCAAACGGTCGCCTTGGTCTTAAGGACTTACGTAGCTCGTTAGGAGTCCTGCAGGTAGCTAGATGAACACTGCTATTGTAGGCACTTGCTACTGTGGGAAGCATCTCATCCTAGTTTATCTGATCTGGTCTAATATACATTCTAAGTAGCTGTTGCAAGATCTTATTCATCTGCTTTGTCCGACCATTAGTCTTTGGGTGTCGTCCTGACGACATCAACAACTTAGACCCATAGACTTTCATAAGATCCTACCAATTCTGACTTGTAAGCCGTGTGTCCCTATCACTGACTATGGACAGCGGCATACCATGCTTGCTTACCCAGAAGTCGAAAAACTTACTAATGACTAAGTTTGTACGTGACTCTGAAGGCAGGGGAACAAATACTACATACTTGCTAAACCTATCTACTATGACCGTGCCTACTATTTACCCCAGTATCCATGAAGTCAATGGAAACTGAATCTCCGTGTCCTGGCGGAATAGGCAGGGGTCTCAGAAGACCAAGCAGGGATCTGGTTGTAGTTTTATTCCGTTGACATACCTTGCAGCTGCGCACATACTATATGCAATCTGCTTTCATTCCTGGATCATCAGGTTAGCTAAAGTCTTCTGCCATCCAAAGTGCCCTTCCGTATCGTAGCATTCCCCTAAGATCAGACTACGGATCTCTTCACTATTGGGGACACATAGTCTGTCAACGACATTAGTCTTCTCAAACAGTAGCCCGTTCGTGGTCCGATAGTGTGGCTCACTATCTGGGGCTTCCCTTACTCTTTTCAACAGCTCATTGTAGATCGGGTCCTATGCATAGGCATCTCTTACTTTCTCCTGCAGATCGACCCCTATGTCTAGGTAGTGCACTATTGCGCTGAAGTAATCATATCTCCTACTTAGCGCATCAGCTACCACATTATACTTGCCTTTGACGGGTTTGAACTCAAAGTCATACTGGTCTATCTCAGCAGCCCATCTAGTCAACTTGGGCGTAGCCATCTAAGAGTCTCGTGATCTGAGTAAACCTTGAAGTGCCTCCCGAGCAGGTAGTGTTTCTAGTGCTCTAGAGCCTGCCTGAGAGCGTAGAGTTCTCTTTCATATGTCGATGCTGCAACTTTCTCTGAGGGCAGCCTGCCTGACATAAACTCTACGAGCCTATAACTATTGCCGTCATCTTGCTGTAGAACGACACCTATGCCATTTAGACTTGCGTCTGTAGTAACAACGAATGGTAATGATGGATCAGCAACTTTGAGGACAGGGTACTCTCTCAAAGCCTTCTTCAATTTCTTAAAGGTTGACGTACAATCCTGGTCCCACTTCCAGATAGTCTCTTTCTTCAGAAGTCTACGAAGGGGAGCAGCGATCGTGGAGAAGTTCCTCACGAACTTCCTGTAGTAGTTAGCCAATCCTAGGAATGAGCGCAACTCTGCCAGCGTCTTAGGAATTGGCCAATCTCTAATGGATGCAATCTTGTTGTCCTCAGGCCGAATGCCATCGCCGTCTAGTACATGGCCTAGGTAAAGGACTTGTGTCTTGGCCCATTCACACTTCTTCGGGTTAATCTTGAAGTTAGACTCTCTCAACTTGCTTAGAATCTACCGCAGATGGCCCTCATGTTCCTCGAGGGTCTTGCTGAACATCAGGATGTCGTCTAGGCACACTACGACGAACCTATCTAACCATGGTCTAAACAAGTCGATCATGCAGCGCTGAAATGTAGTCGGTGCATTAGTAAGTCCAAACGACATCACTATGACCTCGTAATGCCCATACCTTGTCCTGAACGCCGTCTTATACTGATCGCCAGGATACACCTCTATCTGATGGTACCTTGATTTCAGGTCTATCTTTGAAGAAGTACCTGCATCCCTGCACGCGATCTAAGAAGTCATGTATACGTGGCAATGACTCTGCGTTCTTAATTGTGATGGCGTTCAGTCCCCTGTAGTCTATACACATGCAAAACTCTCCCTCCTTCTTTGGGACAAACAGAACAGGTGTGCCAAACGGTGACGAACTAGGCCTGATCCATACTTTTTCTAGGAGCTCATCTAACTGTCTTCTCTAACTCCTTGGGAGACATCCTGTAGACTGCCCCCTTACGCATTCTACTGCCAGGTTCTATCTCTATACGGTGCTGGATTGGTGTGGGCACTACTCCTGAAGTTGCTTCAGACAAGTCCTTATACTCTTCCAGCAAACTGCCGATAGAAGGATGGATCTTTTCCTCTTCCTTTGGCTGATCAGAAATCGACCTAACATAGGCTACGAACACCTGCTCTTCGAGCTGCTCCTTTCGCACAAGTTTGGTGAATGCAGGAGCGTTGAGGCAGCAATGGGCGAGGGGATTATCTACCCCGGACTCATGTAACACCCGGACTTGCTTGACTTCACCTGACGCGCTAGGGAGCCTACACTCGTGCTCTCTAAGGTGCAGTGTGGCTCCTGCTGCCTCCTCCCAATCCATACCTAGAACAATGTCAAACGGGAGACTCTCTTCCACGAGGAGGGTCAAGGAGTACTGTACCTTCTCTACCTTCCCATCTTTCTCTAGGCGAAAGTAGGCGTGGACCAAGAATGCTGACTACAAGCTCCTCTAAGCGTTGGACTTTCAAATTAAGCTTCAACTTCTTCAACGCTCGAGGACTGATATGACTCCTAGTCGCCCCACTGTCTATCATGACACCTACTCTAGCTCTAAAAATTTCTGCATCTGCGAGGATAAGTTATCCTTTACTATCCTTTTTCATTTTGGCCCAGGCTTGCCTCCTCTCTCTTAACTCCTCCGCTAAGCCTGTGAGGGAAACGTCAAGAGAAACTCTAACACAAACAGTCTCTTGACAACCTACTAGATGTCGGCCTGCAACCTCTGCCATGGAGGTATGTGGAGTGGGAGACTCTACTTCGCGGGCACGCTCAGATCCACATACTCCTGGGGTGGGGGCAGTTGCAACACCTACCGGCTGCTGTCTTTTGCTCCCTATACTTAAGACAAAATTTGATGATATGATTTGGGTCCCCGCAAAACACGCACTGAGAACTATTGATGCGTTCTTGCCATACCTTTTGCTCTATGCCCAGATCTTCCCAAGGTCGGCCCTCGGGCCGGCTTGGGTGCCACCATCCTTGCCTGGGAGGTGACCGACTAAAACGTGAACGGTTAGACGGGGGACCTCCCCGTCCTCTCGCTTGACGGTTGCCATTGCTGCCAACCCCCTGGCCGCCCTGTCCTCGGCGACCCGGGGCCCGCCGTTCTGGCCGGACCGTTGTCCTCCTCCTTGCGGCCTCCCTCCGACCGCGACAGCAGCGTAGGTTCTCCCCTGACCAGCGCTACTGTCCTACTCCTCTAGTCCCCACTCAATGGCAGAGTAGGGAACCTCGTCTGCACCACCTTCCTCCATTGTTAGTATTAGACTAACTTTGGCCTTGATTTGGCTAGAGATGGTGCAACCCTTCCACATTTTCCCCTGGTAATTGGCGATGCTTGGGCGGCAAATCCTACTGCCTCCTGCTAAGAGTATCATAAGTCATGCCCTGCTGATTCTTCTTCTCAAAGAAGTGTCCCTGAATATTTTCAGGCAGGGCACGATAGAAGAGGTTAAGAAGTTGGGCATCCGTTACTCCATGCCCAGGGACCGCAATCAATTCATCCATAGCAGATTTAAGCACATGCACACTCTCTCCACTGGCGAGTGTGTATCGTTTGGAGTTTGTCGGAGGCTTTGAGCCCCCGCGTCACATGAAAAATCTCTCTCGAAGTGATTTCAGGAATTCGGAGAGGGGCGTTAGTCTAGAATAGGTGACCATATCATTCTCGCAATTTGCAGCGCGGGCGAGCGACCTAGTAAAGCTGGTTGCCTCATCTCGCAGAGCTTGGAAGGCCACCAAAACGTGGTCCTTAGGTGTGACTCCCTGTAAGTAGAGATAGGAGTGCACGATGGCCTCCCAGTTATCGAAATCTTCCCCCTTCTTTCCACCGAAGGGTTTGGGGAAACGGACCTTGACTTTCTCACGACGTGGTGGGGCCGGCTCCTTTTCCTTAGGAGTTGCTAACTTGGTGCCTTCAATGGCGCCAATGCAGAATTCTTTTGTCTTACTAATTGCCAGGTGGACCTGGTCCACCAGGTACTGCATCATATCACGCGCAAAATCTTTAAACCCAGCATGTATCGCGTCTATCTTTACTTCTAAGCTGCGGATGTATTGCGTTTGCTCGCGATGCGCAATTAGTAAAGACTCCAGACTTTGGGTTAGGGTATCGAGTTTAGTGGCTATCTCAGTCTCTTCGCTGATCTTCCCCATCCAAGTCTCTGCCGCTTTCAGGTCCTCCTCTGCTCGCTCCGCCGCTTCCAAACGCCTAACTCTTTCTTGGGACAAACGCCACTTCCATGCCCTTTGTTGTTCCTCCTCTTTTGCCTTTCTCCTCACCGGGTCCCTTTCTACTTCCAACTCCCTTCTCGCCGCCTCTCTCTCTGCTTGGGGTATGGCCAATTCTGCCTCCCTATCTTGCCCCAGCTCCAAGTGCGCGGGCCACTCTTGTGTCATCTTCTCAATTTGCTCCTTACTCGTACTGGCTCCACCTCTTCTCCTTTTCAATGATACTTCTTCTTCCACCTGCTTTTCTTCTTCTTCTTCTTCTTTCTCCACCTCCGCTTGTATAGCTGCCATCTTCTCCTCCTGCTCCTTCGTCCATTTCTTCATCTCCTCCTCCAGCTGCCTCTTCTTTGCTTCTTGCTTCTCCAGCAGGGCCAGCATCTTGGCCTGCTTAATCAGTTCCCTCTTCTCCATTCTCTCCTTCCTCTCTCGCAGGATAGCGGCAACTTTCTCCTCTTGCTCCTTGCTGTAGGGGGTGGTACTAGTTCCAGACTTGAGGTCCACCATGGTGACGGTGCACAATCAACACAGTTCCACGCCTCAACACGTAGACCAAACAGGTTAACTTCTATCGAGGGGTCTTGACTCGCTACTCGGGCTAGACTTACGGTTCTATGACCACAATCATCGAGTCCTACTGACCTGGACAGATCTCACAGGGAGATATGACTGACTGACTTTGACAGACTTGACGTCAGCAAGTACCACGGTGAAGGTGCACATCCACGGGGTCAGGGGATAGGCCAGGGCTTGGAGAGATGGTACCGGTAATCTTTTCGCTCCAGTTGGGTCGACGCTCCGGTCAACGGTCTTGGTCAAATCGCTGGTCAACGCTCCTGGTCAACAGCGTGGTCAACTTTGGTCAACGCTTGGTCAACGCTCTTGGTCAACCCTTGGTCAACCTTCCAACCTTCCGGCTATGGTGGAACTTCTTCCTCATCAAAAACCTTCATCTTCTTCACCTCGGCTATGGCTGACTTCGTCTCCCTTCTTTGTCACTTTCTTCTTCCTTTCTCTGCGTCTCTCTTCTTCTCGCTCGTCATCTCTTGCCCCGAGCTTGACAGCTATGGCTGCCGTCCCCCCTTCTCTCTCTCTCTCTCTCTCTCTCTCTCTCTCTCTCTCTCTCTCTCTCTCCTCTCTCTCTCTCTCTCTCTCTCTCTCTCTCTCTCTCTCTGTGTGTGCCGAGCTTCAGCTATGGCGGCCTCTACCTTCTTGTTCACTTGCTGCAGCTCCGCCGGTGTGGACAACGGGTACCAGCTCCGATACCAATGCAATCAGACTCGACTCTGGACCTTGTTCACAACATGCACACTTGAGAACCGATGGTAAACTGAACTCCTTCAACTCAGAAACAACAACGAACTTGTATTAAACTCAGTCTGAACAACTGTACAACTTGCTGCTATGGCCGCCAAGCACTGTCTCTACCACCAGCCTCTCCCTCAGTCTTGCTTGCACGCACGTACGAGGATCACCCTGAATGTCCACACTGCACAGCCACTCACACTCTGTACACTCTGTCTACACCAACAGCTGGGCGGCTATGGCCGCCGTCGTCTTCCTCCTCCGAGCTATGGCCGCCGGTGTCTCCCTCGCTGGCTCGCTATGGCCGCTGTCTTCTTCACAGCCCACTTCTTCTCTGGGCACCTGCAGTCCCCCATGCACAAGATACCAAGGCAGCTCTTCAGCATGGCACACAGGCGAATGAATGCATGGCTGGACGCTGCCTCTTTATTTATACCTCTTCGGAGGTAACGGGGCCTGCCTCAAAACGTGTGGGCCTGGGCCAAAACGAGTGGCCCAGGGAAGCTTCCAGACGTTTGGCCTTCTGGGCCAAAACGTGTGGAACTCACCACTTAGTCCAGAACCTTCCCCACGTGCAGCCCCTACCCTTGGTACTTGCTGGCTGGACTGTCCTACGACCTTCTAGACTAGACAGACCTACAGACAGATTCCAGTCCTCAACAGACTTCGTAGAGACTTCTAGAACAGACTTCCTAAGCCTATCGGTAACAGACCTGGCTGCTAATCTACAGCCCTAGGGATCAAGTCCTACTGCCCAAACTACAGACTAATCTGGGATGTGGAACAGGTCTAGGGATCGAATCCTACTCATCACACAGGGTCTATGTACAGGTGTAGGATAGGTCTAGAGATCGAATCTCACTCAGCACACGGGATCAATGTACAGGGTTGTGGCACAGGTCTAGTCGAATCTCTGTGACTGCAAGGTCAGGTCAACTGGGTGAAACCGTTTCAATTCTGTGTGATCAACTTTTATGATATTCTTCTACAAATTCTGTAGAAGACCATGGTGAGTATTCTCTGAGGGCGGATTGGAGCCGGTGAATTTTCACAAAAGAATATAGAGAAAAGGAGGGACAAAATCGAAAGGAAAAATAAAGGAAAAATAAAGGAAAAAGGAGAAGAGCATAGTTCAGGAGGGTTGAGTGAGTTTGGTTAGACTCCTGGGCCTGAGTGGGGGCATATTCACACTAGCAGATTTTCTACCAAGCTCTGGACGTGATTGCGATCAGATTCATCCAGCTGTGCCCATAATTGCAGTCAGATACGTTCAGGAAAGTGCTAGTGTGAGTATGCCCTGAGTTTGGTTAGACTCTCTTGGTCCTCGATCCATCCCACAACGTTATTAATGGACCTGGACAGCATTGTGAAATCCAAATGCATCTGGACGACCCAACGTCTTGAAGGTATCGGGCCCAGCACCAGAACCAGATACATTCAAAATATTGTGCAGTGGAGCGGGGTCTTTTGTGCCAATACGGGAATTCCCCTAAACTACCATCAATTACTCTTTGCGACATCCCTGATTACCACTACCCGTGTCGTTCCCCAAACATAACGCATATGCGTTGTAAAACAAATACAACGCATAGGCTGCTTTCTATTCGAACACAACTTGCGTGCGGTCTATTCGAACAGCGGGTATTTTTGACTACAATGCATGTGTTCGATTCAAATGTTCAAATTTTCAAAAACTCAAATTCAACGCATATGCGTTATGTTCGGGGGAAGACGGGGTAGGCCTGGCCTTCGTCGCTTGGTCCATTGGATTGACGATCAAATATGACCAAGTGAACGACCCTACCGTCTTTTCCCAAGTAGAATGAGCGGTCATTATCACCGGCTTGTGAAGACTGGAACATGCCCCCCCCCAAAAATAAATAAATAAAATAAAATAAAAATAAAACATGCCCCAAATACCGGTACAATGACTGTGCGTTCTATTGGGGGGAAGATGGTACCCCCCGGCCAGCCACAGGAGGCAGCCCTGGAGAGAGGTAGTGACGGTTTGTTGGCTTTGATGAGAAGTTCATAGATTGCAACCGTGATTGCTGTGGGCATTCAAAGCCTATCCCTACTACTTCGCTATTTTACGGGATTGTTTTTTACTTACGCAACTGATGACTGTCGTGACTTATTGATGCAGCTTTTGAGAATTGCGCGCGGGAGCTGAGTGGATGTGGGTTCAAAGGAGAAGAAGAGAACGCTTTTACTACGGATTCAATGAGAACGCGTACGACGGACGGCTGATCTCGTGCTCTCTCTCTCTCTCTCTCTCTCTCTCTCTCTCTCTCTCTCTCTCTCTCTCTCTCTCTCTCTCTCTCTCTCTCTCTCTCCAGCCAATCAACAAACACTTGTTAGGAAAGAGAGTCTTACGTTATCATTCTTTATTCAAGAAGGGAGGGGAGAGAGAGCAGTGAGCTGAATTTGTTAGGGAGGTGTGAGCTGAAGGAGTGGATAAAGAGTTCAAAACGAAAGGAAGTAGTGGATAAGGATTGAAAACAGAAAAGTAGTAGTAGTGGATATGAAGGAGTTAAGGAGTATCAATGATCATGATGGAAAAAGATTACTCCATCCAACGGCTCCGATGGGAGCCAACAGCTGGTAGTTCATCTGCGGAGCAGCGATCAGGATGAAGCTGAAATTAGAAGTTGGTGGTAAATACCAAATATATTGAGCACCTATCATACGGGGGGGGCAGCAGGACAGGCGGGAAAAGTTACATTTGTCGGCAAGTTCTGTGGCGGGAAAAGTTATCTTTGTCGGCAAGTTCAATGGCGGGAAACATCGGAAGTTTTTCCCGCCATTTCCTTTTTTCTCGTAGAACCCATTGATTGCTGCCACAGTCTGATCATCTTCATTCCTGCTCACTTGTTCTCGGATGCAGCCATGTCATCCTTGAGCTCCAAGCTCTGCACTTCTGGAATTTGTCATTTCTTCCCCATCCATCCGTCGTGTACCTACCCATAATCCATCCCTTGATTGCTGCAAGCTTTTGCTGTCCATCAGCTCAGAGTGTTCTTATCATTCCAACTTACTCCCTACCATTTTCACTCGCTTTCGCACCCACCCTCTTCCTCCACTCTCTGTCTCTCTATATCTCTCTCACAGTCTCTCTCTTTCTCTCTGTCTCTTTGTCCTCTTTCTCACATTCTTCTCTCTCCCCCTCTATCTCTCTTCCTCTCTCTCTACTCACACTACTGCTTTCCTGGGTGTATCTGACCGCAAGTATGTCCGGGCGAGGAATGAACACGTAGTATCAAAGAGGAGAGGAGGAGGAGGAGGAGGACGACGAGGTGGACGGTAAACGAAGAAGTAGCGCGGCAGCTTCGAGGGCTCCTGACGGCCAAGAGGGAACGTTCCACCTGTGGCGCTGGCCTTGGCAATTGGGAAAGAAACGTGTGCCCTGCTAGCTCGATCGCACTAGAACAGATGCCTGATGCCGACGTCGACGTCAACCAGGACGACCGGGCTGTCGCATTTCATCGTCACTAACCTTGCAACCCACTTCTTCACGCAGTCTGCTCTGCACGATTCTTTCTTGACTTGGGTTTGGGTTCAATTTGTTTTCTGTTTTGTTTTCGTGTTTTTTTTTCTTCTTTTTCCTTTTCTCCATGTATCTCTTCTTATGTCTGTCAGTTCGGCTGTTTATTCCTCGCTCTAGATACTGAGCTTCTCTCTCCCCGTGCTTATGAGTCGGCAGATTCCTTATCTGCCTGTGCGCTCAATGTGATTACTATTTCCTGTCTCCTTCTTCGTTTCACATTGCGTGGGTGTGTAAGTGTTTAGAAAGGATATAAGCGGGTGAACAGTTGCGATGGGGCCGGGGGCATGGCGAGACGTTCCTTTCTCTAGAAGCAGCGAGGTCGAGAGAGGAGAATGGGATGCCACAGACCCTACGGCGCCACCGCTACCACCTCAGCCCACGGAATATCACGTGCCGTTACGAGAGGAATCTTTCTCCTTGTCACCCTCTGGCCTTGCGCCCCCGACATCTCCGTCTCAGGTCTCCTCGACGGCGGAGCCATGGCTGTCGCTTGATGAAGATGGTGGGCGGCAGCTGGGTCGCCGAGCGGCAAACGGACGAGGAGGGGTAGCAGCAACACAAACGGGTGGGGTGGCGGTTTCTCCTTTCCCCAAAGCGCCGACTTCCTTAATCGGGGAAGAAGGCTCCCTTTATCCGCAACTGATGATTGGCCGGGGAACTGCCGACAGGGAGGAGGAACAGCAGCAGCAGCAGCAGAGGCAGCGGCGTTGGACAGATGATGAGGACATGTCCACGCGGCCTCCATCAGCTTCACCGGCAGTGGGTAATTGGGGAAGGGAAGTTGATGAAGGGGAAAGAAGAACAGCGGGTGAAGGAAGCGTGCCGTATTACCTGCCTGTAGGCAGTAGAAGTGGAGGGGAGGAGAGGGCAAGAGAAGGAGGGCGGGGAGAAATGCACAAAGCACGAGTCAGCGAGGGGACCTCGGGGATGGAGGACGACTGGAATTCCCCCGAACCGTTACTGACGGGTTCGACATCAAGACCGCAAGAAAGCAGAGGCCAAGGAGGGAGCTCTGTTGAGTGGGGGGCGAGAACAGCGGGAGGCGGCAGCGGGCGAGGAGGCCATGGTGGAGGGACACCCTCTTCACGCAAAGCTGTGGAACGCGAATCTTCATATGGCACTGAGCAGGGGTACTCACGAGGCGTCCCAGATGATTCTTCTTCAGGGGGGGGTCGCAAGCCAAAGGGAGACCGGGGCTGCTGTCGACGCTGCACATGGCTTGTTCCCACGGTTGTGATAGCTTGCTGCGTTGTGTTTGTCATTTCGATGTACCGAAACAACTGTTCTGAGAACGCTGGTGCCGCAGCGAACAAATGTTTCCTCCCTTCTCTCGGTCGCTTCTCTTTTGAGCCCCTGAAGATGAATCCAATGATCGGCCCATCACCGAGAACGCTTTTGAATTTTGGCGCGCTGGAAACGGAGTTGTTGCGGAAGCGGCACAAGAACAAGTACCGGCTCTTTACGTATGTCTGGCTTCATGCTGGCGTTGTTCATCTTGTGCTGAACATGCTGGGTGTGCTGGTGATCGGATTGCGCCTAGAGCAGGAATTTGGACCATGGAGAACACTGCTTGTCTACCTTGTCAGCGCTTTTGGCGGGAGTTTGATGAGCGCGTTGCTTTTGGCGGGAGGTGTAATCGTAGTGGGCGCCTCCGGTGCTCTCTTCGGCCTTTTAGGTGCCACATTGGCAGAATTGATCGTTAATTGGACCATCTACGGCCGGCGAATCAGCACGCTCGTCACGTTGATCTTCTTGATTGTCGTCAATCTCCTTGTCGGATTGACTCCTCTCGTCGACAACTTCTCTCACATTGGCGGCTTTGTCTCCGGCTTGCTTCTTGGGTTCGTCTTCCTCGTGAAGCCGCAGTTCGGTTACCTCGCCGATGACATTCAATTTAAATACAATGGCTACAAGGACTACACTGTGTACCCGGTTCCTCCTCTCCCTATGGACGATCCGTATGTTGTTATCCGTCCTGGTGCCCCGCCCAAGAGGAAACATAACCAGTTCCAGAGAACTATGCGCTGCATCGCCTTTGCATTGCTGCTGTTCGGATTGGCCTCCGCCACCGCGTTCGTGTTGCTCAACGTCGACGGCAATAAAGCATGCTCGTGGTGCAAGTATATGGATTGCGTCGAGACCCGTTTTTGGGATTGCGACCGGCAGGTGAGAACAGTAAGCTGTACCTTGATCATAGAGGGCGATACAAGTATCACCTGTCCTGACGGTATTAGGCACTTCCCGCTGCCGGTCAACGCTTCCCAAAGGGAGATCGAGAGAACTTGTGTGAACAATTGTACTTAGGTCCCTCGGTATCTGTGTATGTGTGCTTGTGTGGTATGCTTGACTCTATCAGTGGCATGGACGCTTGCTTCGTCAGTGTGCTTCAGTCACTCTGCATTCCAATCCAATCAGCTGGTATTTCTTTGGGGCTCCATCAAAAGTCTGTGGATGTGTCGGTCCCGTATTCATCTATCCCCTTCTTTCCTCCACGAAGAACTAGAAACCTTTATACGTGCGAGGAGATTCCCTCCTTCGTTGTAGGTCTGCCGTGACAAGCCCTACTTGTGAAGGCACAATTGTGGCCTTTGGAAGGGGAGGAGGGACTTGTTCTTCTCTGGAGGTGTTGCTGTCGATGGTGTTGATTTTCCAACCGGCGTGGTGGCCTCCAGGAAAGCGAGGTTTCCGGCTTTTGTGTGTTTCTCCCAGCAAAGTGAAACCATTGATTTGGGGGGGGGGGGGGGGGGGAAGGGCAGGAAGTGGCCTCTCTGTTCCCAAAGCTGGGGGGCGCACGGCCCCACCAAGATCATGACTACGCAGTCGCGTGGGGAGACACACATAGAGAGAGAGAGAGAGGGAGAGAGAGAGAGAGAGAGAGAGAGAGAGAGAGAGAGAGAGAGAGAGAGAGAGAGAGAGAGAGAGAGAGGGAGAGAGGGAGACAGATGGGTAGGCGAGCCGTGTTGCAATCGCAGTGCACGTGGAGGGAACACCCGTGCGTGCTTGAATGGCGTTCTTCTATTGGCGCGCGTTCTGTGGATGGTATTCTCCTTTCGCAAGTTTGTGTCTATCGCGCAGGCGGTCAGCATGTGGCGGTGTGGACGTGGCAACCGAGGAGACTAAGGCTCATGACGATCAGGAACAGAGGGACACATGGAAGAATTTCGACAAGTGATGTTTCACTGGTCCACTACAGGGTTGATGGAGAGCTGGGAGGAACCGGGTTAGGGGGAGTCGATTTGTCACATAAAAATCAACAGGAATGCATCAGCTAAAGAGGGACTGGAGGGGGTGGGGGGTTGGGGGTGAAGTCGAGGAAGAAGGATGCCTCTGCGGCTCTTTCGTTAGATGTGACGAGCTCCATCACTTGAGGTCTGGCATTGGTCGATTGTCGAGTTGTCGATCTATCCTTCCACGTATCCCTAGCTCAGACGACGTTTTGGCATGTGCAGCTGATCTAATTGTGCTTCCCAAAGGTAAATAGTCCAAGGGCCTCGTCGTCGGTTTTGGAGGGGGGGGGTATGTGGTCACAGGTCATCTGTGTTCACTCCCACATCGGTGATTGGGGTTTGGGATTGACTTGGGTGTGGGCGGTGCGGCAGTGGGAAATGGTGGGCTGAAAGCGAGGCACAGGGGGAGGAAACAGCCGATCAAAACAAGGGCGGGCAGTCTCATTAGAAATGAATGCAGCTTACGCGGTGAATGGTGGGTTCGGATGAAGGTACAGACTCGGACGGGAAGAGACCGCAGGCTATTGGTTGCCTTTGAAGGTAGACGGTCGTTTCCGGTCCGCTCTGCTGCGCTTTTGGGCCCATTCCGTGTTCTCCTCTGTCCCCTTCATTTTCCGTGTCTCCCACGGCCCCCTTCAATTTCCAGTCACCGCCTGCCCTTTTCAGAGGCCGAAACGAAATGATGGCCGCCGATCAGATTTATCAATGGCAGTCGTCGCCGGGCCCGACCTCCCAAAATTCAGGCGATTGGGAAAACAGCCAGTTTTCCCTATTTTCCCACACGGGAAAGGTACTAGTGGTTTAACGTCTGTCAAGGGGGTACTGACTGTCACTGTATGATCTGTCGGCTCGTCGATGTGCACTCACTCTCCTTCCGTTCCGTGGTTTCATGAGAACATGTGCGTTTATCCTAATGAGGCGTCCTGGGTTCGATGTTTCTCGACCTCTTCCGACATAGCATTTTGAGGTATTCTTCTTGATGGGGAAACGGGGGCCCCAAGGAACTCCCTTTCTCTGTATTCTGGGTGGTCACCCGTGAGAAAATGAATAAGAGGTGTGTGCGATGGATTGGTTCCATGGTTGTCTGTCGCGTTCTTTGGCCGGAGGGGGAGGGGAGAAGGGGGTTGAGACGTACTTCTGTCGGAGTGATGCCTCTCTCGTCAGCTCGCGCCATCAATATGACCAACTGCCGGCTTGCTTAGCCTCTCCTGTCTGCCTTCTGCATACCTCCGTCTCTCTGTGTCTGTATTTCCCATCCGAATTTGTCTCTGTGTGTCCTTTGTGCGTCTGAGTCCATTTTGTGTCTACCTTTGTCTGCCCCCCCCCCGCCTGGTTGCCTCTGTTTCCCCCCACTTTCCCCTCTGAGAGACTCTTTCCCCTCTCTTTCCCCTTACTTCTCCCTCTTTCCCCACTTTTTCTCCTCGCGGTCTCTCCCGCAGTCTATCTGTTGTTGAGCCTGTCTTATTCTGATCCGCAAGGCCATCGAAGGAGGAGGACGTGTTGCAGCATCTTCAAAAGTTGGGTCGCGGAAGAGTGGATGTCTTGGTGTATTGTCAGCCATAGAATGGGCTGCCTCTTGAATGGGTGTGATGGCCATGGTAACAGATACGGTGTTATGACAACGGGTGACGATGGGCGGTGCTACGGTGTTATGACAGCGGGTGCCGATGGGCGGTGCTACGGTGTTATGACAATTGGTGCTGACGGGCGGCGCTTGTTGTCTGTGGTTATGTCATGGTATAGCGAACTGTGTGGTTTGTGGAGGGGGAGGAGGACCAAGACTGGGAGCACCGTTGTCGGCGGTGTCAGGATGGTGGTGCCCAAGGATAATGAAGGTAGGAGGATGGTTTGCGCCATGGCACAGATGCCTCCGCTTCGCCGTGTGCTACGACAAAAGACGGACAGATTTTCTTCCCAGGCTCTTCCGACTCTGCTCACTGCGTGTTGAGGGAGGAGGTGGTTGGTTCCGTTCATGGCGGGAGTGGAGTATCAATCATATGGTGTCCGTGCTTGATTCTTCCTTTTTTGACGGGGCAAGATTGCAGAAAGAGCGGGAGTAGTGCTAATGATCGACATTTCATATCACTGCTAGTATTGATTAGTTCTTTCCTTACTGGTTGTTCTTTGGTGGTGACTTGTGGAAGCTCAGGCAGGTAGCTAGCACGTGGAGATGACTGGTGCCGCTCCTAGAAACAGCAGTGGAAGTTTATTTTGTGTGTACTGTAAAGGAGGGTGTGCACGCGTGCAGGTGTGTTAGGGGGGGGGAAAGGGGGGGGGGGGGGGGGGAAGTGGGGGCATGTGTGTGACCAGGCCTCCTATCCCCCATGTTTCAGTTTAGTTGTTCATATGATCTGAATAACACAATTAATATAAATCCAGAAATTCCCAGACTGGGGATGCAACCATGGCAAAAAAAGGAGGGGGGTGGGGGGGGGGAGGGCAAGAGAGAGAGAGGTAGCGGGAGAGGGACAGAGAGCTGACTGGGGAGGTAGATGAGGAGCTGCCTGTAGAAAGGCGGCATGAAGGAATGTAAAGGTTATAGGAGAGGTGGGGGGAAACGAGGAAAGATGGGGGAAATGGAATAAAAGGACAGGAGGGGAAAAGGAGGGGAAGGAGAGGAGGAAAACTGATAGTGAAGATTAGGAGCAGCAAACAATAGAAAGGAAATGACGTTGGGTATATTTCTGCCTCCTTGGCTTGTACTCTAATTTTGTACATATTATGATGACTCAATAATTTCACTTGTCCTGAGGACAGGATTTTGGTTTTTATTGGATCAAAAAACATGTTTGGTTCGCTATAATGTTTGATGATGTTCTCGTTCATTACAATTCCGCACATTCATCTCCCTTGTTCGATAGTCGAACGAGGGTGCGGGACTGCTCTCTATTGCACAAAAGAAATTGTGGCTGCTGCTGCCACTACTACTACGAGTACCAGAGGTGGAGATTGGGTGGCCGCGACCCGACCCGACCGTACCCAGCCGTACCCGACAGTTCTGGACGGGTGCGGGTATGGCATGATTAGTATGCACCGGGGCACTGATGCTTATCTACTGTTCAAATGGGATGCTGGACCCGTTTTCCAGCAGGTGCGGCTCCCCACCAATAGATCGGAGCAACCGGATCGCGCACTAGGGGAGGTTGCTCGCATCACCTTTCCTAGTGACACTGGTCTGGCTTAAAAAGAAAAAAAAAAGTATGCACTGGGGCAGCTGGGTCTGGAAATCTGAGGGGGCGGGGGCAGGAAACTGTAGGGTGGGTGGGGCTAGGTCTTGACACAGCGCCTGGACGGTTACGGCCGGGCAAAGGTTTGCCCTGGTTCCGGGTACGGCTGGGTAGAGGTTTCGCGCGGGTGACCCGAGGCGTGTAGGCATACTAGGCATATTAGGCAAGCCTAGGTAGAATTAGGGACAGGCCTGACCCTTTCTCTTCACTGGGAAATAGTGGTACTAGTGGGGCGTGCCCCTAGTATAAATTTGTCTCTGGTCGTCTATCGTTCATCTTAGGGATGAGGTAGTACTAGGGCCAGGCCGTACTATTAATTTGGCCTGACCGCAGTCGTTTCATCTTAGGGAATAGGACATTCACTAATGAGCTCTGGCCAGAATTGAGGTCAGATCCATCGAAATCTGGCTGTAGTTGCGGCCAAATGTAGACAAGAAAGTATCATTGTGAGTATCCCCAGCCACTGGCCCATTGCTGCCACCAAAATTCGAAGTGGAGATGTGTGGATGGAAGCTAAAGAATCCAACATGCAAAGGCCTAAGTTTAAAATAAAGATAAAAACTATAGCCTGGGTGGAAACTTTTGGGCACAGGTACGGCTGGGCACGGGTGGATGGATTATGGGTTCGGGTGCGGCTGGATGCGGATGAAGGAAAATTTGGCCTGGGTGTGGCTGGGTGTGGGTACACAATTTTTAAATCACCCTAGGTGGGCTGGGTACGGGTAGAAGATAAAATAAATTAGCGTGGGTGGGCTGGGTCCTATGTGTCCTTTAAACGGACAACGGGATTTTTAAACGCCGTTGTACCCGTTGAACGGCCCCGGGGCCCCGTTGAATCCCCGTTGAACGGAATAACGGGGGCTTCCCGTTGAATTCCGATCAACGGGTCGAGCGCAACGGGGCTCGGACACGTGGCGGGACACGCGTGTAATAAAAAAAAAGTAAAAAAACTACCCTCTGTGTGTGTGTGTGTGTGTGTAGATCAAGCCCATGGCATTAATTGCCAAGAACCCCATGTATCCATGGTGCACACAGTCCGACTGTGATCGACTAGATCCAACTCATGGAAGCACTTAGAGCTCTGTGGAGCCTACCAATCATGTCGGGGTGTATTCTGCTTTTTTCGTAACTCATCATTTCATGACAGCTGCACAGTTTGGGGCAATCGAGGGCGTATGGGGGGGGTATGTGTGGGAATATACTTTAGGTGCGTGTGATTGTACCATAGATGTAGGATTGCATGCGGGTGGGTAGTGGGGAAAGGGAAAGGATTGAGGAGGGGGAAGGACGGGAGGAAGTTTGGAACAGTGATATGGGTTGCAAGAGGGCGCGTGGGGTATGCTCATGTATGCGAATGGAAAGAAATGAATGCTAAACAGTTTGTCACAGCCCCTCGTTTGTTGTCCTCTTCTCCCTCTCTGCCTACGGTTTACCGGGCAGTTCTATTTGACGATATATATATATATATATATATATATATACTTCCACGTATGCGGATGCAAATCATGGATTCGTGTGTGCAAGCATAAATATATATATATGTGACGATATATATACATATGTATGTTTTTATCATATAGGCTCCGGGGGATTATAGGCCGGAAATTTTAGAGGGGGGTCGTAGCATAGGGGAAGAGGGAGAAGCGTAGGTAAGGTATCCAATATTCCGAAATTATCGAAAAAAGGAAGGCGAAAGAAAGGACGAAATAACCATCGATTTTGGCAAAGCAGGTCCATAGATCGGGTCAAGCCAATACGACTGCAAATAGGATAACCAGGAACCAAGAAGAAACAATCCGTATGCTGCAGAGGAGACCAAACATGATCGATCGGATTGAAGCAAAGTATAATATCCAACCAGAACCATTCCTAAGCAACTACAGAACCAGAGGGCAGCGGTGCTACGTCGTCGGGTAGCAATAACTTGGAAAACTGCAACAGTTACCCAGGTAGTTCTCGAGCTTATCATCGCAGGAGGGGCATGGCATCCCCTAAAAGCTTTTTCGCCGTTGCCACAGTCCGGCTCGTCAGAGGGGTTGGTACAACCTGCACACAAGTAAGACATCAAGCAACACCCATCCCTTGGGAACCCACCCGCAGTCATGTCCGTTTATGCATAATAATGCATGGGAAAGAGGATGTATACCGCTTCCTCTGCCGTGCGTGCCTCCTCGTCGGCATCTGGCGTGAGCGCGATGTCCTCATCGATCCCAGCAGAGAAATCCCAATCTGCCATAGCCTCCGTCCGCCGCTGCAGGCTCTCCGTGTGCTTTAGAGTAGGTTCCAATCGCAGGCAATACAGTCGATTACGCAAATACTTGGCGTATATGATCATGCGAATGCTGATATATGCATGTAGTATGCTAGGACATATATATTTCAGAAGGGCTGGCTGTCGTTGCCGAAAAGACTGCTGGCAATCGAGTACTCCGGGGAATTGTGCCCGCTATTTTTGAAGTTGGCGCGCGAGCCGGATTTTTTGTTGTTGTTGTTGCTGTTGGTCCTTGGGTTTGCCGACTTCGGTACCTGGCCTCCCTATGCAGTGGTGGACTGTGCATGCTACGGTAGGTGGTGTTCAGATTCATTGGTACTGATTTCGGCCTGGGTGTTCCTTTTGGGTACTCCTCCTTTTTGTCCTGTGTGTGCTTACCCGACGTTGTGAACTGTCGCTGCTGGCACGTTACCTGGTGGTATCGTACCGGTCCGGATGTCAGAGGCCCTTCCTGTGTTTTTGAAAGGAGGCTTCCCTTGTCGTATTTGTTGGGGTCATTTGGCCCGAATTTGCCGGGGTCACTAGTCCCCTTGGGGTCCCAGTGGTCGTCGTTGCTGTACCCTGATTAATTATCCCTTCTTTTTCCGCTTTTAACCCCTGGTTTATTAACATTCTTACCTCCGTGGCTGCCAAGCTTCGAGCTCCCGCCTGCCGCTTGTAGCTCCTTGCATAAAAAGGCTGTAATGCGTGTGTGTGTGTGTGTGTGTGTGTGTGTGTGTGTGTGTGTGTGTGTGTGT